GGTATAAATATACACATTTTCTGCCCCCATCTCTTGAATTTGTGATCATTCTGAATGTATTTTAATAGACTGAATCATGCAGTGAAAGAGCGCACTAGACTTCACGTAATGCATGCACTCTGAAGGTGTCTTGAATGTTTTTTTGCGTCGTGAGAATATTGAGCAAAATAGCTCACTTGTCATGGTGTTAACTATATCATGTTATGAATAAACTAAACATTCTGAATTTTACCTCAGTGTGTTTCTTCTGAGTTTGTGTGCGGTCACGCTCATTTGTTCTGAAGTCTCGAGAGTCTCGAGACAAACAGAGTGAGCCTCAGCGCGAGCTTGTATTCTGCAGTTCTCTCTGATGACGCAGTAATTTACAGCGGGTCTGTCCAATGATTGTAAAGTCGTTAGGTCCGACAGACTGAAGATATTTTAGCGGTAATGAGACCAAAAATAATTAAGACCCATCGAATCCGAATTTAAGACATTTTAAGACTTTTTAAGGCGTTATATTAGGAAAACGTTATTTAAGAAATTAAGACTTTTTAAGGACCCGCGGACACCCTGATGTGTCATAGATTCAGCTCTCTAATCAATAAACTTTTGAGCCAGTCCAAAGAAGGGCCAAATTCAGACAAAAAGGGATAAAGAAACAAGAGTAGGCAAAGTGGAACCGTCTAAACAACTGTTTACCCTCTGCAGTGGTGTCTTGCATGAAGGCTGCTGGAATTTTCTTGGGTTGAACGTTTATAGTCTCAGCAGTCATTCAAAAAGCGGTCCATCTCACTGATGGAGTTTAGATTTTAGATTTTGGGCCTTGATAGAGAGTTCACCTACATCCAACTCCATGATGCGCTTTTGCAGAATTTCAAAAGTAAAACGCAACTTTGTGGGGCACTGCAGGTTAAGAGCATAAATTAGACCGAACAACATTGACGTTGCAAAAGTCACACTGTCAAGGTCCTGAAGCACTGCCACACCCTCTAGCACAATTCCCACATCATGGGCTTCATTGTCTGCAGTGTCCTTTATCACGAAGATGCCCATGGTGGTCTTCTCAATGGCACTCTGTAAAAGATCTTCTTCCATGTCCTAAAGACAGAAAACAAGATGAATATGTATTTAACACATGAACAAGAAATATGAGGGGTAGTAATTTTTTGAAAAATGCCAATGCTTGCAGTGACCTCAATCTTCTATCCACATTATTAAGCTAGTCACAGTTCTTATGGAATATGGTGAGGAAGAAAGATCTTTCTCAAGATGAAAAGCATGAAACAATGCAATGTCTTGCAAAAGGCATCAAAACAAACAATATTT